TCAGCCAAACTGGAGCGAAACTAATAAAAAGCCAAACAATTTCGGAGCTATTCGATGGAAATAATGAAGAACGTGAGGCATTTGCCGGTTCTGGTTTAGTTGGCATATAAAGAAGACTCACCCCACATGCAGGGCACATAAAAACAAATTTTATGACAAAAGTTCCGTCCTCGTTGTTCTTGGAGTGGAGTGTGTGTGTGTGTGTGTGCGAGAGGCGGCGAATTAAAAACCAAACAAAAGTGTAAATAAATACAAAATAAATTTGATGAAAATTGTGCAGAAAAGTTCATTTAATATGGATTAAAAGTTTTCTTGTTGTCTGGCCAAATCGTGCTGGCTTGAGATCCGACTGGAACTCAGACTCAGGCTCGAACTCGAACTCCCTCGAGTTTCTATCTGTCTCTCCACGGCTTAATTCGATCTGATTTGATGGGCATGGGGAGTCGAGAATGGCCCCAAACACTGCTTTATGATGATTGGCATTGGCATGCGAGACCACTGTCGCCAGTAATTGGATTTTTAAGCAGTCGAATTCCGGATTTCTATGCCGGCAAATTAAATTATATGGAAACTTTGCAACAGTTATCCCCAACGAGATGCTGCTGCATAATTCATTACAACTATGTGGAAATTTCGATAACTCACAAGTTTGGAAATTTGTGCGCAAATTAAATTAAGCTGTCACTGCCCATGCCACATACCCCAGACTTTTTCCACACCCACACTCACACCCACTTCCCCCTTTTCCCATCACCCTCACACTTTTCCATTTTCCTCACAACACTCAGGCCACAGAAACTTTCTTTGCAAAGTGTCAAGTTTCAGTTGTCGTAGACGTTGCCGAAATTATTTTTTGAAGTTTATTACACGAAGGCGTGCGCGTGTCCAAGTATCTTTCGTTCAGATATATGTACATATATAATGGCAGCTCCTACTCCAAATCCAATTCTGTGTCGTGTGTCGTGGGTCGTGTGTGCTCCCCGGTGCTCGGAGATCATTGACCACCAGCTAAAGCTCCAGCTCCGGAGTCCTGGACGTCGGTCAAACTTTTCCACACTCATTTGGAGCACTTGTCCGGCGATGACAAAAGTTGCCCAGTGCAAATTCAATAAGGCGACACTTTGCATAAACGAGGCAGGTCCGGCAAAAGTTTTCAGCTGGCTCCGAAAATCTAAAATGTTAAATGTTAATTTAATGAACCCTTTTTCTGAAGGCTGAGTGCGGAATTTAGTTTGGCTAAGGAACTCAAAGGGTCTTACAGACACTCAAAGAAAAGTTTCTTTCGGAGAATGTATTTTAGATAAACATTTAAGAACTTAAATTACGATTTTAATTTTCGTAGTGCGCTTTTGCGCATGTGGGTCAATAAGCACAATGCCTCTGAGATACTGACGTCATCTTCATTTTGCCAGCTGCTGCACTTCCATTTCACGCACATATATAATATGTATTAAGCCCTTCCTCCTTTTCGGGCCCATTGTGACCGGCACTCAAGGAATTGCCAACTGACAACTGGCTTTCAGTCCGTTCGAAGGCATCACATCTCATTGCACTGTTTATTCATGAGGCTGCAACACTTTTCTTAATAAGTCTTCATGTCCCCTGTCCATTGTAAATTGTTCAGTGTCCAGTGTCCTGGCCCTCGGAGCAAACAATTCCGAGCGAAAGTGTCCATCTGGCATTGAGGTCCCGCATTTCACCCATTTCTCCCATTCGCAGTTATGTGAAAAGTGTCACATCTGCCGCTGGATAAGACAGATGTGGGAGCTCAGCCTCGCATTTATTTATTTGCCCTTAACTGCAGCGAGAATATTTGTGATAAAAAGCAGGCCAAGCCGACCAACAGACCATCCGACCAAGTAGTTTCTCTGGCAATTTAAATGAGTTCGAGGCGTGTCAAATCTCCCGCGGGATTCGAGGATAAAAGCAGCCAGTGGACCCACCACATCGCTTATAGCCACTGCATTGTCATCCTGCTCGTATTTGTTGTGCACTCCGACTGCCTCATTTGCGTTTTGCTTAAAGTGATTGCAAATTTGCTCGGCGGCAGCTTTAACGCGGTCCGAGGCGAGTCCTTGCTCTATTAATCAGAGCATTCATGCACACTTAATGCACATTTTCGTTAATCACGCTCCGTGCACACGGTTCGCTTTTCGTCAGCACAAATATTACCATTAAGCGGCGATAAATATCGAGCATCCGCCGCGTCTGTTTCGCGATAAAGAGGATAACCCCACGGGAGTCCCTCAATCACGCTTAATAACTATGCCCCGTCGATTGAATAGCAAAATCAGCGATGCTGCTACGTGATAGTTGTGTTAAAATAGGAGAATAAATAAATAAAACTATAAAAATCAAATAAAAATATTTATAAAAATATATAAAATATGTATATGAATTAAATATAAAAATAATTATATATATGTATCTGTAATAATTATATAAATTTTGTATATCTTAAGAACATTTCTATTATATTATTAGAAAAGTACTTTAACTTTCCCAAAACTGTACTTGAAATACTCGCACTTTAAAACACTTCTGACAAGCGAACTCCAAATTATCCTGTCAAAAGAGTTTCCCACGGTGCATCGGGCATCCTGGTCGGTGCTTTCTAAACCCAGCTCGGTGATATTGAAGCGAAAGTCAAGTGCCAGTCCCCCGGGCGCTGGCTAACTATAAATTTGAGCGGGAATCAATGGAATCAATTTACGCTGCTGGCCAGCACAATGTCTGCTTTTTGCCGGGCTCTGAATCGGTGACTGAAACTGGGGACTCGGGAACAGGGAACTGGAAACTGGGAATGGGGAATGGGATTCCGATGACGGGGAAGCGATGACGCGACAACAGCGTTAGTTGGCCATTTGAAATGCACACTTGACATCCTGCGACACGCAGGTCACGAGGATATTGCAGGATATCGTGAGAAAGGAAAACAGAGACCTCGCACCCCCTCCCTCCCACTACCCTCACTTCAAGCCGAACGTATACTGCAATCAGGAGTTGAGAGCCGGGAGTCGAGAGTCGGGAATCAGGATAACCACCAACCACCGGCGATTGTGGCGAGGATGGAAACATCATAAATAAATCAATTTGTAATTCGATGCGCGTAGCTAATTGATTTTAATTGTGCGCTGCGGTCTGTCAAACTCAATTTGGTTCGCTACTCGCGCTGGTCTGCAAATTTTTGCAGGACCTTTTGCGGCACACGTATTCGATGTCGCCTAATGGCACGTAAATAAGCCGCGGTCCACTATCAGCCGAGTTGGGAAACACCGAGCACAGGACATGTGCATGCCTTTTCCATGTTGCTGCCATCTGCAATGCAAATTAGTTGACTTCAATTAGCAGGCACTGCATCATTTCGCTGCAATTCAGCTACTGTTTCGCACTGTTTTGGTATTGCGAACTCTAGGCGCTGTCCTGCCAAAGGAATAAAGTTTCTAATTGGCCCCTGCCAAAGCCCATTTGCAATCAGAGCGGATGTTCGAGGGCCGAAACATGCGTGGGAAATGCTGATCGAATAATTGAAGGATCTTGTTGCGGTGCATTGCCATGCCTGCTAATTGATGGATGTATATTTAAACGAATGTGTAACTTGATATGAATTAGAAAATCCTGTTAATTAAAGATTGCCAAGTTACCCTGACTAAATAACTTTCTTGTGGAAATAATTAAAAGTTGCAGACCTTAAATCGGATAAAAAATGTTTCCATTTCACAGCCTTTTTCTATTTCGACTGCCCAGTAAGTAAATTCAATTTCACCATGAACTTTCTTTAAATTCACTTTTTGTGGATGTTTAATTGGATTAGTGAAAAGAGAACTGCATATTTTCGGTTGCTTTGTCGATGATCCTTGTTGGAGTCAAGGATTTTCCGAATTTGCCACCGACACAGAGCCGCATAACTGCAGCTTGTATTTTGATACATTCTGCTGCCATCAATTTCAGAGTGGTTGCCATTATTTCGGTGCTTGTTTGTCTGCAATTTAATTTAAATACACAACACAAAACTTTCCAGACGCTGGGCAAACGAATGGGAATTCGAATTTATTTTTATATTTACCCGCCTTTATTTGCGAAAATATTTTCTATGCAAAATCACGCACAATTCAAATGTTTTCTTCGCTATGCAAGTTTATAAGCAAGAGTACGTATGTTTTATGGGCGAGGGAAAACTCAAGCGGAGATTCCTATGTACATGTACATAACTACAATTATTTGCGATAACAGACAGAGGAGAACGAACCCTCTTGGAATAGGGAAAGAAAAGAGTTCTCTCGGCCGCAATTGAAAAGAAATAACAAAGCGCGCTTCAATAATTTCGGAAAAGCGTCGGGGAAAACTAGGAAGCACAAAATATAATACAAAATGCGCATGCAGAACGGAAACGGCAAAAAGCGAAGAAAAAGTGCAGGAAAAGCGGAACGGGAGTGTGCATTGCATTGTACCAGATTCCTTCTTATATATTTCTTTCAGATCTTCCGCTGCGTAACGGCAAGTTTTTTCACACTTTGGCAGGCAAACTAAATGCAGACAATAACCAGAAGGGGTGGGCTCTGCAAAAAAACACTCCTTTGTTGCAAAAATGTTGAGTAAGAATTCTTAACGCCAAAAATCAACAGTGGAAATTTGTTGAATCGGAAAATCTCTTGGGTCACCGGTCAGAAAACATACCGAAAATAGAAATAAATGGGATAAGAGCTTAAAACAAACAAAATTGGGTTAAAATGTAATATTAAATGTATATTTTTACCTTATTTGAATGTATCTGGAATGAATATGAGACCCAATCCACCAAAGAAAGCACCAAACGAAGTTTAAAATTAACACACATTTTATTTAATTTCACCACCATTTACAATATGCCCATACAAGGCTTTGATTTATTTACTTTAAATTAAATTAATTTAATATGTTTCATTAAATATATTTTACACACACGCTTTTCTTGTCCCTCGAACACACACCTTTGATTTCTGGCTTTGGTTTGTTTTTTGTTTGTTTGTTGTTCTGCTCTTTTTATTTCCTCTGGTATTTTGCACATTAAAAGTAGAATCAGTAATTTCATGTTCTTAGCATAGTTTCCTTTTACGTTATCTCTTTTTTGTGTAAACATTTATATTTGAATTATGTATGTCCTGCTTTATAGGTTTTAAACTCATCCGTTCTGCTGTCCAACCTCCAGTTTTGTTTGTTTACGACTAGGCTAGTTTATAAATGTTTGCTTAACTTAATTTGTTTTTATCTTTAGCTCGCTAGTAGACACCACATCTCCGAGTGTGGATTATCGGGGTGAAATAAAGGTCAACGTGAAAAGCAGTCATCAAAAGAAGATCCTTGAAACTAACAAAGTCGGGGTGTTCGCTAGACCTGTTTAAATAATAAATGTCGAACTGAACCGGCAATAAATCTGTATCTGAGAACTTTAACTGGCTTTAACTACTATTAGAATGACCTTTAGTGTGTTCAAATGTTGCGAGATAAACGTCTTATCAAGCCCTATGTTCGTGTTACATACAAGTTAAATGTTGATCACTTAAATACTTATTAAATTCTCAGGTCTAGTGAGTTCCCCCAATGTACCTCGAATTACTTAGGGCTTTAACTAACTGGTAACACACGCCTAGGCCGCGATTCCTATCCTTGGTTCTGGCCAGGCCAGTTGCTGTCTGGTCGCCTTGAAGGCGCTGCAGCTGGACAGAGGAGCTCCAGCTCTGCAATGCTCCTCTTGCTCCTCCTCCCTGTTGCTGGAATGTGTCATCGGGTGTCGTCTGGCCATCGACTCCTGGCTGCTGGCAGAGCGGGTCTCGAATGCAGCCTCAATTAGCCGGAATAAGACAGCCAGCGCGGCCATTATAAGCGGCGCCATGTAGACGCCGGGCAGGAGTCGCGATGCCGACGATGCCGAGGTCGAGAAATACGAGCTGAAAAAGTTCTTCAAGCTCGAGTCGGATGAGAGCGTAACTGCAAGCGGAAGACCGGAAGTGCCGGAGCGAAAAACCGGAAACGGAAGTCAGTTGGATCTGTTGGCGTAATTGACTCGTGGCCATGGGAAACTTACCACGTGCCGGTATCGGATCCTTCTGCGGGGTTCCCAGCTCGATTTCCTTGTACTCCTGGTAGAGGTCCCCGATTTGCGCCGAACAGCGCAGCAATAATCCTCCCGGATTCGGATTCGGGGCATAAACCGGTCCGCCGTGGCCGTAAACCGAGTTCAGGCCGTAAACGCTATTGTAGATGGCCGGGTTCACGCTGGAGAAGTGAACGCCCTGCAGCTGCAGCTTCAGCGAGATCCGCGAGGCAATCAGATTATCGATGGTCCGTATGTACTGGGTCTCCACGTTGGTTATCTGCAAGGAAGAAATGAGAGAAAAGGTTTTTATTCTGTGGTAACATTACTGAATGCTCTTCCAGGAACTTATTATATTGAGAATAAAATATTTAAATATTTAAGTTCGCCTTTGTGCACACTTTTTAGCAAGCGGAATGTTTTGTCTTTACCAACTTTGAAAAAGCAAACAAAGGAATAATTATTTTATTTTAGGAAAATTTATTCCACACAGATTGCGATATGTTTTTAGGGCACTGTAAAAAATTCAAGTATTAAAGGGTGTTTACCTTAAATCAAAATACTGAATAGTTTAACAAGTACTAATTCAAATGTGTTTTATGATATGAAGTAATGTAAAATTATGATGGTAGCCTAAAAAGGCTTCTGTTGATTTAGAGACCAGTTTTTTTCAGTGCTTGGAGAAGCGTACAAGGGATTATAATTTTAGACTGCGCCTGTTTATTTTACGCTCCCAAATGCATTTGCATATTTTAAGGCGCTCGAGGGGTTTGCGGCGGGGAGAGGCTTCGGCATTTGGCAACGTTTAGCCCTCACGCTCGTAATACTTTTGTTTGTACTTCTCCTTTTGGCCGTTTGGACGGACCGAGCAGAAGGAAAAAACTTTTGCCAGCCAGCATCTTGTCGCCATTTGCAAGTTGGCACAGTTTGCCAAAGAGCAGTGGCGTTGCGGGAGAAGGGTTTTTTTTCAGGGGGGCGGAATATCTCCGCAGTTGGGGGATTTGCCACATGTGATGGGAGACACTTCTGTATGCATGGAAATTATGTATCAAGGAACTTTATCTGTGTTAATGCAATGCAGCAAAAAGCGGCGGCGTCTGAGCACAACACAAACACACAAAGGGAAAGAAAAATTAGTTGGAAACTAGTCCCGACAAATATATGCCCTTCAAAGGACAAAATGGAAAAAAAAACAAGTTTTTACGAGAGATTATTATTTAGGGAAGAAGTAGAAAACCTTTTCAAGGATATAGGCAACATAAAAAGTAATATTTTTGTAGTGGTGAAACGCATCTTAAACACAATGCATTTTAAAGAAATATAAAAAGAGTTATAATAAGTATCTAAATATTATTGATGTGAGCCTCAAGCTCCTATTGAAATGTTTAAGAACCATATGCTCTTCTCCTTTTCAAGTACAAAGTAACGAAAAAAAGTCAGAAGCCCCACACAATTGCACACATTAGTGGCTGCAAGGACATGGGACATTGGACATGGCCGGCAAAGTCTGACTAAAAAACAAGAGGGCCAAAACTGCATTTTGACGAAAGTTTTAGCCAGTTTTGTGCAGGCTTTGCCATCTTTTCTGAGCCTTTTGGAGCGGCGTGTGCTTTTGCCTCTGCCGTTTGGATCTGTTTTTCTTCTGCGCCATTTCTGCCTTTCATTTGGCCTGCATCCGTATTGGTCCGCATCCGCATCCGCATCCCAATCCGCACTCGCATCCGCATCCGTATCTGTTTCTGTTTCTGCTTCAGTATCCCAGAGCATGTCCATGTCCTCGCTGCGTAAGTCCACTTTATTTGCGCCAGCTCTAAGATGCTTAAACTTGCATTTGGCTTAAATGCTGCCAGCAGCTCCTTCATGCGAGAACAGCTTTTATGCTTAACGGCAGTTATTTAGTGCAATTCACTGTAAAATTGTTGCCATAGGAGAATCTGCCACTCGCCATTGCCATCGCCATCGCCAAGTCTCTTTCCTTTCTGTATGTGCGAAAGGATTTGCGCTTTGATAAATAATTTTTCCCCATACGCATGTGCATGTGCCAAAAAGCAGATGTTTAAGCAGCATAAGTTCTGCCTCTGTTTCCGTATTTTTCTTGCCAGTTTTCTTTATTTTTCTTCGGCTCTCTCTCTATGCATACAAGAAAATTATACATTATTTAATAGTTGTCTCAGAAGAATTCAGGCCCGAAAATTATGTGTGAATTTCGACCATGGTTGCACTTCCTGTTGCAGCTTAGTAGCTGTTTAAAAAAAACATTCAAAACTAATGGAGAGTGGTTGTAGGATAAGCAAGGAATTAAGCTACTTTATAAGAAGCTTCTGAATGTCAAGGATTTTTTATGGAACCATTGAAGTAATCCATTTGCTGTTTATTTTTTTGTTGCTGGGATAAATGTCCATTGGGGCTATTTTAAGTGCAGAGAGGTTTGGAATTGGGTTCTTACAAGCCATTTAAGGATCTAGTAATATTTAGTTAAACAGAATTAAAGGATTTAGATATTCATCGCCACATCCAACTACATAATGGTATGCTATAATTATTTTTCTGGTAGTGATATTTAACAAGATATGCATTCTGAGTCCTCTATTAGTTATCCTTATTTATCTGGTAGCAGAACAGAATAATATCTGAAATTTGAGTTTTTACCAATTTCATTCCCCAGTGACACTTTGTCTGCAGGCATAAATTTCCATGCGTTCGTTCAACCGAAACCCCGGCGGCTCCTCCCTCCCAACCAATGCAAAAATACAATAAATATATTTTATATTTCATCCAATATAGTGCACAATTTGTCCGACGGCCTCGTGAGCATGGGTTTGTGTATGCGATGCACTGCCAGCGTATCAATAACAAATAAATTGTGGATAGCACTGCAATATCTTTGCGAATCGTTACTGGTAACTGGTAACTGGTAGATGGTAGATGGTAGCTGGTTTACTGGCTGCCAAGAGTGCTCCGAGGTATGTGAAATATACATAGAATGGCAAAAACTATGGCATAAAGGAGCTGCCAACTGCTGGCTGCGAAGTTTTTTTCAATTTTCCGCTAAATTTGGCAGGGCTCAAGTGCTATTTGTCTTCATTAATGCGAATGCGCCTAGAAGTTTTGGCAAGCGCTTCTGCAAGATTCCGACGTTCTTCCGTCCGTTGGTTCGTTCGTTCAACCCTGATGACGGCAAATTCTGCGTGGCATTTTTAAGCCGACGCCAAATGACATGCAGCAGTTATTAATTGGCAATTTACATGCCGAATGATTAATGCCTGGGCCCAAGGGCGGAAACGCCAGGACCCCAAAATGGAGCCACAGCAGCAGCAGTCTTAAACCGAAGGCACATATGTCACCGAGGTGGAAGTTAAGGTACAAGCGAGGGTAAAATTCTGGCACCTCAAGTAAGGTTACAAGATTATATATATTTTTTTTTAACTACCAACAAAGGTATAAGGTGTTAAGAAAATGCATTACCTTTTACAAAACAATGTATAACGAATTGGATTTAATGTAATAGTTCTTAAGGTGGTGCTACATTTTATCATCTTGTTCTTTTCTCGTTTAACTTTCCTTAGCTGAAAATCAATGTCTTTTCTTATTGGGTTGACCTCTGCTGTTCGTGCGTCGGTACGATGTTTTCGGCCTTCGGGAGGGAGGGAGTTTTGGGTCCGGACCTCTTGCAAATTACTCCTGTGGCATTTCACCGCAAAAACTTTGTCAACAGAAAGTTGTGGCTCCTTGCCGGCGCACCTTTTAACGTAAACTTTGCAGGAAATGTCGGAAGTGCCTGAGTGTGTGTGTGTGCGTTGGTATGTTTTCCGCCCACGCACACCACATCGCACACTCCGTATACCCCCTGAACTCCCTCTTCGTGTTGATTTGCACAGCATGAAATATTCATTTGTTTCCTGTGATCGGCAATTGTAATATATCTTCCTTCTGCGGTATCGTTTTCTACTCAATTTTAGTCAATGTCTGCCACGTTTGCTTACTGTTTGTTGTCCCTCTGCCATTGGTTTCCATTGCCAAAAGTTCTCGATGTCCTTGCAGCTCCCTGTGCCCCCAACTCAATGCCCCCTTAACCCGCAAACAGGACCACCGCATAGCATCATTGGCATTTGGAGAGGCATTGCCGATAAGCTATCATTTCATTTCCAGGCAACGAACGCAACCCGTTTGAATATTCTCCCCCGAAAATTCCCCTTCGTTCCGGCAGCGAGTTATTGCGGTGCAAATGATTTGAATTCATTTATCATGTTTAATGCGAGCTTGCCAAGTGCGCTTCTGGAATGTGGCAACCATTTTTCAACGGCATTGACAACACTACAGCCTCTTGCCGACTAATAGAGAGCGTTTCCTTAAAGGGGATTTGTGCTAATAAAATCAGGACTCGATTTTCTGTTCTCAAGAAATATGTTAAACCTTTCAATTTGAGCTTAAACCTATAAGCCAACACTGTCAACATCCTTTGGTTTCCCAAAAACCATAGATTGTACCGATAAATAAGAGAGTGAATTGTTAAAGACGACTTGAATTTTGATGCAGTTATGGGACTTCGTTATGATTCGGAATATCCATGCATACATTTTATTGAAGTGCATGAACCAGACCTCTATTTAGATAACAATGTGAACCTAAATCCTCTGCAGTTTCCACACGCACTCGGTTGGTTTTTCATCCCGCATAATATTTTCCCCAACCGCAAGCCAATTGGAAGCTTTTGTGATAGAAAATTATGCATTCATCCTTAACTAAACCCCTACCATAAACAATTCCGGCAAGCGCTCAACAGGACTCATTTCTGGCATAGCAAGCAGCTCGAAAATCAGAAGGGAGCTAAATGCAGTTGCACAAGCCGTTGAATGGTGAAGACACAAAAAACAAAAAATAAAAAACGTGGGCAACCTGTTAAGCACGTGGATACAGGATCTAGAAACTCATCGGTTTCGAGTGCCTCTGGCTCAGACAGAACCCTTTTAAACCGCAAATAGAGCGGAAAGCAGAAGACTCGCCTTGACCGATTCTGAACCTGAGAACTGCTCTTGACATCGGGGCCTGGGTCGAAATTATAAGCGGGAAAATGAGGAAAGCGAGCATGTGGCATGCATATTCATAAAATTGCAGTGGAACTGCTTACAGGACAACAATGGCAACACGACAGAAGCCAAAAGTGAAAATCCACACGGAATGACAGCCATGGGAGTTCTGCAAGCATAGTTGCCAGGTGAGATGAGCGCTCGTATAAGCTAGATTTTTGAAAAAACTAGAATAAGTTTAAATTAAAAAAAAAAAAACGTTCTAAAAAACAAGCTACACTCAAATTAGAGAAATCATGAAACCTTATTATGTTTTAATGTGGGTGGCGAAAAACATTGGGTCAATATTTTTGATTAGATCTTCAAATTTCCATTTCGAAAGTTTCCGAAAGAAAAAACATAAATTTAAAGGTGATTGTTAATGAATTTATAATAGTTTTTTGTATGTTTGAACAAAAATTTTGTTATTAAAGCTGTACGTATAAATATGTTCTTAAAGTTTGCAATTAAATAAAATTAGTTAATAATTCATCGATTTCGTCATCTTGATCGACATTTAAAAATTGTTCATTTTTTTTATATGCATGATGTACTTTTTCCTTATTTATCACTTTCGGCATTTTAGCAAACGCTTTATTTAATTTTACAACTCCAATTTATTGGTGGAAACACTTCAGCCAACATATCGATTAAAAATAAATTCACGATCATATAAAATGAACATAACCATCGGCAAAAAAAAGAACAAGCTCCGATTTGTTCATGCCATAAAGCATATTTTTGTTACAAAACAAACTGTTGATGTCGCAAATACATATAAAACTAGAATATGCTAGATGAATTTTAAAATAAGCTATATTTCAAGCTATAAGCTACATGGAAATTTTTCAAGCTTTTCTAGTTTTAAATATGCTAGAACTAGCAACACTGTCTGCAAGGAGCTGGCATTTAACTGAGATGCTGTCCTCGATCTTTAGTGATGAAGCCTAAATATTAAATTATTTGACTGTTTGTATCTCAATGATTGTTCATATTATCTCAAATCATCAATTTCTTGAAGTATAATATTCATTTTTCCGTTTTAAGCCTTTTAGCACACAAAACAATGCCATATTTTGTAGCCTCAAAACTCCGACAGCACTGACTCTCGACAAAGGATCTGGGATTTTGTATTTGCGGCCGCATAGAAATCCGTATTTCACAGTAACTAAATGACAGAACGGGCATTCGGGCCACAGATGCGGCAGCTTGCCTCCCGGTTTGTGCCTCCTCATATGCATTGTTAATACACATGACAATCCTCACGCTTGCTGGCAGGCTGTGAAATTGCGCATACGCCACGTTGACGGATGGACGAGCCCCCCAAGGCAGATGCTGGCAAACCGAAAACAAACACAAAAACCGAAAAAAGAAAACGAAGCGAAACCCTTTTGATTAAAGTCTTGTCCTCGCCCATTTCCATGTTCATTTCTCAGCAGAATAGACAAGCACTTCAAAGGATCTGCTCGACTTTGAACACAAAATAGCCGCTGACCCGCTGTCAGATTTGTTTTCCACTCTCCCCAGCAACATGAAATAAATTGAAGCGGACCGACCGGCCAGGTCGGTAATAATTCATTGCAGAGATTGCGGAGTGGAGTTGAAAGTACTTACCACCATGTTGTTGATGGTAAATGTGAGTTCTGCGCGCGGACGCGACGGTGGAGTGCTGCAATTGGCCCGCAGGACATCGCCGGGCTCGTAGCGCGTGTGCTCTGTAAAAAGCTGCGGACGCTTCTCAGGGAGCTCTGGAAATAGGAAAAACAAATAAAATAATTAATTTATAGTTTCACATAACTAACAATTAAATAAATAACATAGTATTTTAGCTTCAAGTTATAAATAAGAGCAGATACGATTTTTGTGGAACTCCTAGAAATGCAGAAAACAATTTTGTTATATTTTCTTCTGGAATATTCGAAAAGGTTTAGCTACGAACAATTCAATTAGCTGACCCTGCTGACACAAAACACATTAATAGACGCATAAGTGGAGGCGGAAGCCCGAAGAACCCTTCAATCAGAACCGCAGGACGAAGATCCTGGCTCTCGCTACGCTTAACTTTTTAATTAAGTCAACCAAGACGGAGCCTGGACGCCGAGAACATTCAACGGGAAACTACTGACGGCCATTGGACCCGGAGAGAGCAACAAAGTAACTAATGAAGAAAGTAATTTCCATGACAAAGGCGGCGGCAACTTTGCTCTTTTTCCCGCCTCGAGGCAACTTTCTCGGTCTCTGTGTGGCCCGCTTCCTAATCCCTGAGTCCCGGATCCCCGTCCTCTTGGCCGCCTGCGCTTTTTGCCTTGCAGATTTTGACCTTTTTGCGGGCCAGCATCGAATGCCTCTTCGCTTTCGCTCTTGCCACGGCTTTGCCTTTGAGATTGCTCCGTCAAATTCACCCTAATGAGGGTCAGTCTGCCAATGCCAGTGCACACTGTCCAAAAGTTAAAACATTTCGGTAAAATACTTGTTACCCAGGTTGTTCTAAGAAGCAATGTTAAGTAATTATTCCAAAAAGAGTCTTCAATGCGGAACTTCTTCTTAAAATATATAATACAATATTTTTCTATAGTTATTTAATTCAAGATTTACCTAAAATCTCTTAAATCATTACCTCACCTAAGTTGTTAAGCTATTTACAGCTTTTAATTTCTTATACAAACATTTTCTCTAAAAAACTCATTAATCTCGACCACTGCCATTTGGGGGCCTCTAGAGCTTAATTTAGCAGCTGACCAGCCTACTTTGCACTTGCTTTTAGCCTCGACTCGTGTCATTAAGTTATTAAACTTAAGGCTGCCCAAATGTTTGCCAACTATAAACTTTTGACTCGGGCCAGCCGAAGAAGATGGGCGGCGGCAGAGATGTGACTTAATGAAAGCCCGAATTAGCATAACTTTTGGGGCCCAGCCAACCACCCACTTAATGCCCGCCCATTGACCGCCCGCCGCCGCCCCCTGATGTCCTTGAAGAGGTCTGAACGCCTCGAATTGCCCGCCCCGCAAGGACAAAGTGTTTATTTTATGTGCCACGACGACGCCGCGTCGCAGCCTTCTGTGTTGAAGCTCCTTGCGGGGCGCAACTCGCAGGATCCTTGGGCCGCAATCTGATTGCCACTTGAGCTCATTAACACACGATTAAACCTCAGAGTTATTTACACCGAGGAGGACGCGGCTGCATAAGCGAATGAGTGCGCACAACTAAACCTGGCTAAAAGCGACCGACCGACTCGACTGACTCGATGCATAAAACATCAGACTTCCATTGGCGCAAACTATGCGCTGAATCGATGAAATTAAAGCGCAAGTTTACGCAGATGAGATGGACCGACTGGCAGTCGTTAAAGGCAAGAAAATCTGATTTACCCATCGGAAGTAAGACGCAGCACAGAGGAAAAACATTTCCTGATTACAATTATATTCGTTTCACAAAACAAATCACATTTAATCAAAAAGGCATTACCATTCTAGAAAACAGTAGTAGTTTTTTTATATGATAAGTTTTAATATGAATGAATTATAATCTGTGTGTTAAGCTATAAATTTGAATGAATTATAATCACATCAAATGCGTGCACAAAAATTTAGTTTTAACATTCAGTGTTTCAAATTGCCAAATATATGGCAATGATTTATTATCCGTATTTACCTTGACAAATAATTGTTTTTGTATACATAAAAAAAATAAAGTTTTACTCTTTGGTAAAATTAAATACACTAATTACAAATAAGGAATTGGATATATGTTTTATGCTCTATACAAAGATGTTAATAAATTCTTAACTACATTTTAAGATTTTCCACCTCCTAAGAGTTCAACTATTAATTCGTTTTCTGGTTTCATGGCTTTAAGGGTTTTCCTCTGTGCACAAACAATATGGTGTCCGTGGCTGTTTTGGCCTGCTGTTGGTTACAGTAATTTATTGTTTAGCCGGCAAGTTATTGGGGTTTTAGTGTCGACGACATTAGGCCTAAGCCGCAGAAGCCCACAGCCGAAACGAACACACCCAAACGAACTTACGGGCCGCAAGATATAGATACCAGGTCTGGGGGCATAACCGCCAAAGCCCGAGATTTGAGGCTGGTTTGGCTGGTGCTGTCAGTGTGTCAGTTCCCGACTGGCTTAGCCCAGCATTGATGTATGTATGTGGGTCCCAAGGACCGAAGTTCGAGGTTTGAGATTCGAGGCGAGGCCCAGAGCAGCAGCCAATTAAATGCCGCAGCTTGTAATGAAACTTTAATCAGTTACGGGGCGTCCTTGAGCGCGGCCTCATGAATTTAAAGCAAATACACGATCAAAGGCTTTAATCCCCAGATGCTAGTTACGCAAAAGCGGCCAATTAAATGGGCTAAATGCGGCGTTAAATATAAAGCGGACAACCAGTTGGCAGAGGGGACAAAGGGAAAGGGAAAGGGCAAAGGCAATAGCAAAAGCAGAGGCAACGGCTAAGGCAATGGCAATCTAATAAAGGCCAGGCCAGGATGGCAGACATCTGAATGTTTAATGCCGGGCAACAAGCAGCCAGGCAGCGAGCCAGTGAGCCAGTCAGTGAGCCATTAACCCAGACGAGCTCTCAATCAAACACACGCAAGCACAGCGAGCTTTCCCTTCACTTTCGCTCCTCGAAGGACCCTCGAAGGGTTTCAGGACAACGCGGGCAACGGCGACTGCGAATAAATCCCGCCCAGCAAGTGGCATAAAAATCAGCGACTAAAGCACAATTTAGCTGTCGGAGCGCATTTCTCGAATGCTTGAGGCCAAGCGGATAGAAAGATTAACTCCGACGAGCGACGAAGCTGCGCCATCGATTCAGGTCGCATTACGCATACGCCCCATATGGCTTCAGAGCCCCCGCACAATTCAGGCACAAGTGGATGCCTCATTGTTGTGCCGCTAATGCCCTGCACTCGGAATAGAATGAGGCTGTACTTTAACAATGCGGCCTTTAAGCCAACCAATTACACAATTAGAAGGCAGGGTTAAAAGTCTAATTATCGTTTTAAAGGTCCACAAATATTATATTTTTTATTGGTATGCAGTGGCTTAAGAAAAAATAAGAATTTGCGTTATAAATAAATAAAATTTGCTTATCTTTTCGTAGAATGGCATTACCTGCTGTAATTTACACTTTTATCATTCCAATAAATACTCGCCACTTAATACTCGCAGTCAACAGCAATTGCAGTAACTTAAACTAAAAAGCTTTTCTGAGATACACCATTATTTTTAACCAATTTGCAAATTCCTTCAAGCATTTTTATAGCAAAATTAAAAGCCAAGTATAGCAGTTTTGTCAGTTTCTGTCTGCGCAAGAGCCAAATAATTGTTAAGCCGAAACGGACTGGCGCTCATTGGATTTCATGACCCTGCCGCGCTGATTAAATTCGTAATTCAGAGCGCGCCTCTCTACGCTCATTTAAAACGCATAAAGCCGTGAAATGCGTGGGGCACAGGTAAGACTACCAAATGACCCCAGACAGCAGAGTAGGAGCCCCACCCATAACCAGTGGACCACCAAACCACCGCACCACCGCCTCATTGCCGCCAAGTCCGCTTATCTGGCAAAGACGAAATGGCCTGTTAATGACGCAATTTTCAGCGCAAAACTTTGCCAACCAGCAGAAACAGCTGCTGCGACCTTGGCCACAGCAAAAAAAAAAAAAAAAAACACAAATTGCCAAGGAAGCGGAAAACTTTCCCTCCTAGTGGGAAAGCAGACAGGATGGAGGATTTTGGATTCTGGATTCGGGATTCAGAACTCGGCCACGGAACGCTGCCCGGCGATCAAAGGCGAGTAATGTCAAAGGCTGACTGAATCACTCGCTCGCTCGGTGCTTCTTGAAAGCTTTTAAGCGCACTTTAGGCCAATTTGGTCGAATCAGCTAAGAGTCCGACTTACCCACAACTTGCATGGTGTCCACTGCGGTGGCGGTCGAGAAGAGCGGTGCGTCGGCGGTCACCTCGCATGAAAAGTTGCCCGAGAGCCCGAATCCCACGTTGCGCAACAGCACCTGGGTGGCGTTCGAGCTGCTTACCTGTTGAGCAAAAGAGAAGATTCTGTTTTTAGGTAAAAGATATAGAAGTTTGTACATTTACCCATTCCAAATTTAAGTATTCAAACAAAACAAAAGCCAATCTAACGACAAAAATGTATACGACATGTCCCCCCACTGTTCCCATTTTGAATAAATCTTTGCTTATAATCTATGCCAAAAAAAATAAACAAAAAAATCCTCCGTAGAAAAATATTTACTTTTGTCCAAAAGAGGAAACTCTAAGCCACATTTAATTAAAATAGAAAATACATTTTTAAGCAAATGTTTAAAATCAGCTATCTAATCTCCCATTTCCATGTTTTGCAATAATCTTTAAGACCATAAATTAAATAAATATACCAAAATTACAAAAAAATTCAGCATTTCAAAGAAAATATTTTATAATGTTTTTCTTGAGTGTTTTTCTGCACCTGCCATCGTTTAGTTGGCCACAATCTGACATCGAATCCAACAAAGAAATGCACTTAAATTTATTAAAACAGCTTAAAAAACAAACAAATGCAACACAGCCACCAGCAAGCAGCCATCAGAGCAAAAGGACAGAAAAATTGCCTCCGGCTAGGTAAAGTAAAAGTTTTCGACGACAAAACAACGAACAAAAAAGCAGGCAAATAAAATAAAAAGGAGAGTACGAAAAACTAAAGATAAACTCGCTGGCACAAACTCAATAGCCTGATGAAATATTTAGCCAGATTCGGAGCAACTTTATCGAAGCAACGAAATTGCAAGGACCTGGTTCTCTCCTCCCACTCCCACTGCCACCCACTCCCCTGTCGGCTGGATAAACTTTTTCAATAATCTAGCCAAAGTAGAATTACCCCCGCCGAGACTCAATTCTACGACCTCAGCCCCGCCCCCTTTCTCCTGGCAGATTGCAGTTTTTGCAGGTGGGCGACAAAACTCAGACGCAGCATGCAAAAATTTAAATGAAATTTTTGCCGCAGATAGCCGCCCGTTGATAGCGCCCACAAAAGCCGGCATTTTGGCATTCTGGTATCCTGGCGCACTGGCATCCTGGCATCCTGGCACCCGGGCGGCCAGGTGTCCCGTGGCATTTTTTGAATAACCGCCAATAACAATAAAACTGCCAAACTGAATATGCATGAGCGGAAAGTTTAAAATATACAATATAAATAAATGCAGTGTGCGCGCAATTAAGGACATCAAAGTGGAAACTCCACCTCGGTCCGGTTGCCATTTTCCTTCAGACTGCCATCGAGTGACTGAAGTCCACTGACCAGCAAAAAGTGCTCCCCAAATATTTTAATTGTGAAAATTTCGTGCTTCACGGTGCCAATTGTTTGTTTTCATTTTTTAACTCATGGAACACAATAAATGAACCCGAACAGGTTTAATGTTCTCAAAAATTGAAAATAAATATAACAGGAATAATTAATAAAAATTATTATTAATTATTACAAAAAGTAAAGTAAGAATACAAATAGTTTTCCATCAAAAATGTTCAATAAATATTTTGTCAATCAAAACTAATACTTACATCCACATGAATGCCGGGAAAAGGGAAAACCTTGGTGTTGGGAAACTCGCCGGGCGTGTAGCGGTAGAACTCGAGCTGGCCGCGGTAGAACTTGGCCGAATACAGTGGAGCCCCGTCCAGGTCGTACATGCACCGCAGCACCACGTGCTGGCCCCGTCTCACCGCCGGTGGTTCGATTATTAAATTGACATTGCGCAGCGCGCACTCGACAAGCTCTGCAAAAGAGGGAAAAGACGAGGGGGTCAGAAGTGAAAAAAAGAACGCTGATGGAATTACGTGCAAACGCAAATCCGTGGGATTCCAATTTAGTGTATTTATATAAATAAATTATTGAAATATTGTCCGAGTTCGGACGCTCGACGGCGACACTGATAACACATAATCCGCCGCTTAACTGCACCGCAATTGCTTGCATTTCAGTCGCAGGCGTTTGTTTTTGGCATTGGTTTTCGCGGTGTTGTGTCCGCTCGGCCCCCAAAATGCTTAAAATGCCATGCAAATATGCTGAAAACTCAATTTAGCTGGTCAATTTTTTCAATACCCTTCAATCAAGCAGAGCCGCTTTTCCCACTAACTTGTCAACTGCGTTTAATTTTGTAATTTTATGGATCGTTTGCGTTGAATCATAATACTTATTAAAAGCCGGATGATTTTGTTTTTGTTTTCTGTCGATGTTCAATTATTTTAAAACACCTCTAAAATTCGAATACATTTCAAGGGTATTTGGCATGTCTGACAACCCCACCACTTTAGCCTGTTTTTGCTCGTGTTTCCCGTCAACTGATTGTCATATTTGGCGTTTAAATGATTTATAAATGTTTTTTCAACCATCGAAAGCTTGATAGATTATGGTGAGCTTTCGTGGGGCAGTTATGCAAACGAATATTACTAAATTGAAAATATTGTAGTAAAAACGGCTTGCCATTTGTAAGCCCAGAGTAACAGTTCATAACTGAATTTCAATGGTAAGCCAGTTGGAACAAAAATTTCAATAAATGGCTACAACCAAAATGGTGCATTATAAATCACTTCGGGCAGAATTCAATACAGAATACAAACGATTTGCTAGATTTATGGATTCCATGTCTGAGTTCGGCGCGACCTTCACTTACTTAGGCAATTTTCTTGTTTGCTCGCCAACTTTTATTAATTACCAAACAATCAACGCCAATTTCCGGCAACTTTATGACCGCCCATTTCAGAGTCGTTTGTCAACAAATGCGTAGCATAATTCAAGGCGCCAAGCCGGAGATTGCCTCTCGCTCGCACTCACACGTTTCCGCTTAGCTCTGTCCCTCTCTGGAACTGGTGTTTTACAAGCGCTTGCCAGCATTTCCAACATAGCCTAACAAGGCACTCAAAAATTTTTTATATCTTATTTGGGTCACATTTCATGCGGCTGTGCCCTTAAGAATAATGGCACATAATTTGCGGCTTTCCCAGCAGTCCCTTTTGTGAGGTGGGGGGAAAAGTGGAGGAAAAGCCGAGAAAAGTCCGTGGAATGCGAGGCAAGGATTCGGTTCCTTGTAAATCTCTCGCGAGGCGAATAAAATGAAATTGTTTTCATTTTTTTTCTACATGCCAGCTGTGCGTAATTCATTACCTTTGGGAGTTGTTTGCATATCGGGCGATATCTTCGGCGACTCCATGGAAAATGCCTCGAAAAATCAGCATGATATTCATTATGCCAATGCCACTGTGCCCTTTAACATTTACTCCATTTGCAGGCTGTAAAATGAATTCTTGCACATTGACCTTAATGACCAGCGGGGCTTGCCGGCATAATTGGCCAACTGCCTGTGTGTCCTGGCCAGGGAAGCCGGTGCTCGAGCATCAAGAAATTACAAAAAGGAGGTTCAAAAACTGTAACCGAGTATAAGGATTTAAAGTTACCCAGTACTACCTTTAATAACTTTCAAATTGAATTAATTTTGAATTAGATGTTTTGTTTCTTGTATCTTCTTTAATAAAAATAAAAAGGTATTTAGTAAAAGCATTTCTTTGGCACACTTTATAGAAACCCCTTTTTATATAAACAACTTATACATTTAACATCCTTAATCCCTGAGAATTGCAAGTTGCAACATACCTGCCTCAGCTTAAGTAGTGCCTTAAAGTTCCTGCTAGCCGCATAAATATTTGCACACTGAAATCGAAAATTCCGCTTGTTTGCCAATTGAAAATTGGAAAGTGTAGTTGTCGGATCCCGCCCGCTGTGAGTTTTCCCAGCAGCAGAACCAGCACCAGCAGAATCCAGAGCTGAAGCAGAAGCAAAAGCGGCGAAATGCAACCGCAAATACTTGCTTATTGCTGGGGAAAACTTTGCTTGTTAGTGTTTAGGTTGAAGGTGCAGCAAGAAATCATAGCACACACGGCACACTGGGTGCAAAACTTGCCGGGGCAACAGAGAGCAGCCAAACAATGTCTATAAATCCACACGCACACTCCAGATATAGTTCGAGAGGTAAAAAGTTTGTGCAAAAGTCACATATTTGTTCGATTCTGCTAAGTGCCAGCTTACAAGTGCCTTGTCCTTATCCTTTTGCGATTTGTTTACATGGCTGCCAAAGTAAGACCCACCTTTTTGGAGAGGGAAATATCCAGTTGGAGTGGGGATTCGACTGCCTGCTAAATATCAATGCCAATCCTCCTTGTTTTGTTTTCTTTCCTTTTGTCTTGCTCCCTGGACGCTGGGAAAACTGCCCCTTCACCTTTCCCCCCATCCAGTGGACACTTTTCACGCTCTTTTTACGGCCCTTTTCCTCCCTTTTTATTGTTTTCCAATCTGGCCGGAGTGCGTCATTCGTCGAAGCCGCAAGTGATACCAAATTGAAAAGTTAGATGCCATTTTTTGCCACCCGTCCTTGGAAGTTGTTGAATTTTTGCACTAACCACTAACCACAGGTTAGTTTGGAAAAGTTTTCGAACTTTCAGGCAGCAGAAAAAAAGCAACCATCAATATAAATCTATAAATTACATTTTTGGGATGCCACCTTTGACAAAATCATTTTAATTTTGAGTTCTTTGCCTAGACTGGTTTTCATTTTATTTTGTTAATAATAAATTCCTTCCTTTACACAGAATTACTGAATAATAAAACGAACTTTTTTATTCGAGTATCTGTATATTAGTTTTAGTTTCAAACTGATGGATTGCTTTCAAGGACCTGTCCTAAACAGTTTTCGGTTTGTTGTGAGTTTCAAAATACTGGCTAAATGCTGCGTTCGTTTTACAGTTCCTGAAATCCTGAAAACGTGGCCACCCAAGGCAAACAAGCTGGCGAATTGGAGTGGGTCCAAATGAATATCGCAGCATAATAATTTGACGAGTTGCTTTCCATATCAAGGGATGCCAAAAACAAACAAATTCGGGCCAGCTGGCATGTAATATCTATGTGCATTCATGTGTACGTGTGGGCGGCATTGTCTCGGCATTTAATAGGCTTTTGTTGCAGCTTTCCATTGAAATGGAGTTTGTTGGGTCCCGCTTTGCTCCTTGGCATGTTTACCAGGAGTTGCCATAACCTCTGTGCCGCTCCTGTTTCCGTTCTGTTTCGGTTTCCCATCAGCGTCCTCATTGCCCGACTGCCAGCTCATTGAAAGATTTATCATTCACCAGAAATAGCAAGCTTTTGGGAAGGGTGTGTGTGGACTTGAGAAGGGATAGGTTCACTCGAGGAAAGTCTATGTTTTCAGATGCAATTATATTGTCAAAAAAAGAATACCCTTATGTTATTTATCTCATTATATTTGTATCATATAGTAAGAAGAAGATTCAAATTATTTTGTTTTTTAAGCCGGTATTTATTTTGGAATTTTTCCACTTGTAAGCCCTTCTTTTCTGCCAGTGTATCTCTGATGACGTGCCACCTGTCTGAGGTCCTGAATCCCGACCGTCGGTGTTGACACAGTCCACATGGGCAGCCCATACACATGCATAATGGAATTTCTAATAACTGCCACAGCTCCTCGACTCAACTCAACTCAACTCAACAGAACTCGGTACGAGTCGCCTCAAATCGAGAATCGAGGACCACAGGACCAAAGCAGGACCAAAACAGGAGCCAAGCCTTCCTGTTGGGTCAACAGCATTTAGTGACAATAAGCGTGCTGCAGTTCATTTGCTCAGGCGGGTCAAAGAGCGGTTCGTGTGTCGGTTGGCTCTCGACTTGGCCAGGATTGAAATGGCCGGTCGGTTCATCGGTCGAATGGTTGGTTGGTTGGCCAAGTGCACTTAGTCAGGCATCGGCGAACATGCACTTCAGCAGCCAGACCAGAAACGCCAGCACAACCCAAAGCGATCCGAGGCAAGCAATTTAATTAACATAAAAAACGCAACTCGCACAATTCCAAACCATAAATCAAAAACCCGCACACGCCCAGCTCCAAACTAATGCCTTGGAAAAAACTAATACCAGAGACCCCAACTGGAAAAATGTCTGGCAAAAAGTGCAATCGGCAAGAAAAAGGGGTTGGAAAGCAAACGAAAGGCGAGGAAAAACTGGGGAAAACGCTTCTAATGAAAACGAAAATGCTAGTTATGGTCTACGATACCCAGCTCTTATGGAGGCTCTGGCAATGAAGTTGAACTCCGAGAAACATTTGTTTTTCCGTCGAGTTCTTGTCACAACCCGAATGAATTGGCCCAACCCAAACCCGCATTCAAATCGGAAACATAACCCAAACCCCAACCGAAACTGTAACCTAAGCCTTAACCAACCCGTTCGTGACGTGTCCAGAGGGCATCAGCATAAACAAAGGACCAACATAATTTAGTTAAAATTCCCTTTGTCCAGGGGCGTGGCACACCTCGCCAAAGGAAATGAAAAATGCTGATTATGAAAACGCAAACCATAATTTGTTGTGTGTTATGGCGGCTAAATAAGCCGTTTCTGGGTCGGGGCGTGGATTTGATTTGGATTTCACAATTTCCATTTACTAATTGCTTGATTATTAAATTCAATTACAAATGACAGTTTAATTATGTGTCGGTTAAGCAAATATTCAATCAAACGATTACACAAAAAAAATCAAACAATTCAAGCTAAATAGTTTTTAATCGTTTTGTAATGCGTGCTTAAAGGGCTTAATTAACAACACAAGCTTTTAATTGATTACTAGCTTGCAGTCTTTTTTATGCTTCCCTTTGGGAATTTTTTTTAATGATTAAAAAGTAAAAATACATTTGAACAATAATAAAATAATTTTTGGTACAC